CCAACCTGGGCAACAGAGTGAGACTCCGCTCCATCTCAAAAAAAAAAAAGCATACAAGGATACTCAAAATTCATCTTTATTAGCTAGTGACAAGAAAAGCAGACCCATTTCTACTCCAAAGGCCTTGATGAAAATCTTCAGGCCAGCCACAGTGGCTCATGTCTGTAATCCCAGCACTTTAGGAGGCCAAGGCAGGAGGATCACTTGAGTCCAGGAGTTCAAGACCAATCTGGGCAACATGGTAAAAACCCCATTTCTGCAAAAAATAAAAAATTAGCCAGACATGGTAGCATGTGCCTGTAGTCTCAGCTACTGGGGAGGCTGAGGTGGGAGGATTGATTGAGCCCTGGAGTTCAAGGCTACGGTGAGCTGTGATTGTTCTGCTGCACTGCAGTCAGCCCGGGTGGCAGAGTGAAACCCTGCCTCAAAAACAAAAAGAAAATCTCCAAATGCCTCTGCCAAGTCTTTTAGTTTGTTTGTTTGCATTAATTCCCTGCCATCATTTTTAAAAACTTCTGGATAAAGAACAGAAAGAGTCTGGGCTCACACCTGTAATCCCAGCACTTTGGGAGGCCAAGATAGATCACTTGAGGCCAGGAGTTCAAGACCAGTTTGGCCAACGTGGTGAAACCCCATTATCTAACAAAAATATAAAAATTAGCTGGGCTGTGGTGGCATGTACCTGTAGTACTAGTCATTCAGGAGGCTAAGATGGGATGATCACTTGAGCCCAGAAAGTCAAGCCTGCAGTGAGCTGCGATTGTGCCACTGCACTCCAACCTGGATGACAAAGTAAGGCCCTGTCTTAAAAAACAAAGAGCGCCGGGCGTGGTGGCTCACACCTGTAATCCCAGCACTTTGGGAGGCCAAGGCGGGTGGATCACGAGGTCAAGAGATCGAGACCATCCTGGTCAACATGGTGAAACCCCGTCTCTACTAAAAATACAAAAAATTAGCTGGGCATGGTGGCGCGTGCCTGTACTCCCAGCTACTCAGGAGGCTGAGGTAGGAGAATCACTTGAACCTGGGAGCAGAGGTTGCAGTAAGCTGAGATCGCACCACTGCACTCCAGCCTGAGCAACAGAACAAGACTCCATTTCAAAAAATAGATAGAAGCACTATATGGGCAAGGAGGTTGCAGTTTACCAGGGAAGGCTTTCCAAAAGAGGTAGCACCCAGGTACATCCACAGGTATGTGGGAGTCAGTCTCATCCTAGTAAAAGTGGCAGCATGTGTACAGGCAAGAGGCCCGGCAGGTTCAAGGTTGTCCAGTTTGGCAAGAGAATAGGGAGCCCTTTGGGGTTGGCGTGTGGTAAAGGGCAGGGATAGAAGAGTAGGCAGGAGCCAGATCACCAAGGACCAGGTGTGTATCCAGGAGTTGGGCCTGACGTGAGGCAGTGGGGAGGCAGCAGCAGGACCTGATCAGCCAGGAGCAGGAAGGGCTGAAGGAGGCCCAGGGTGGAAGCTGGGTCTTGGTTTGGAGGCTTCTGCCCTACCCAGCAGCATCCACAGCAGCCTTGAAGGGCTCGTGGCGGCCACACAAGAAAGAGTGCACATTTCAGACCCAAATGTTTTATTCTCTTAAACTTCCAAAATTCTATAAAAATCATCAGGGAGGCTAGAATCTACTCTGAGAAACATTTCTCCCCAAGATTAAGATAATGTCAAGAGCTTGGGCCCCTCGTGGGGAAAGTGGTGGTTGTCATTACCCGCTTGGCAGCCTGCTGGCAGATGGGGCCAGCTAACTGTAGCGCCTGCCCCTCTTAGCTCCAGTCTGGCTCAGGGAACAGCTGGGCTCTTTAGGCCTAGCCCAGACCCATTCATCCGGACCCCCCTTTAAAATGGGCAGCAGGGATGCAGGACTGATGTGGGTGGGAGACGGAGGAGTGAACCCTCAGAGACAGGGGCCTCCAGCTGGCCTGAGTCCACAGGGATGTGTGTTTCCTTCTAGCCAACTAGGCGTAGTCCTGCTGAGCAGCCACAGCTGTTTTCAGAGCTCTGGGACAGTGGCCTGTGAACTTCCCTGCTCCCATGGCCTTTTCACACAGGCACTTTGTGGTTGATCTCCCTGGGCAACTGTCTTCCCTAAAGTGCCTGGTATAGATCCTTGCACATGATAAGTACTCAGTAAATGGTAGGAGTTTGTGTTAAAATTGGGAAGTGGCTGGGCGTGATGGGACTCACACCTGTAATCCCAGCACTTTGGGAGGCCGTGGCCAGTGGATCACTTGAGGTCAGTTCAACATCAGTCTGGCCAACATGGCAAAACCCACTTCTACAAAAAATACAAAAATAAGGTGTGGTGGCAGGCGCCTGTAATTCCAGCTACTCGGGAGGCTGAGGTGGGAGAATGGCTTAAGGCGCGATTGTGCCACTGTACCCCAGCCTGGGCGACACAGAGAGACTCTGTCTCAAAAAATAAATAAATAAAAATAAAATTGGCGGCCAGGCATGGTGGCGCACGCCTGTAATCACAGCCCTTTGGGAGGCTGAGGTGGGCAGATCAAGAGGTCAGGAGATTGAGACCATCCTGATTGAAACCCCATCTCTACTAAAATACAAAAAATTAGCTGGGCAGGGTAGCACACGCGTGTAGTCCCAGCTACTCAGGAGGCTGAGGCAGGGGAATCACTTGAACTCGGGAGGCGGAGGTTGCAGTGAGCCGAGATCACCCCACTGCACTCCAGCCTGGGTGACACAGAGAGACTCTGTCTCAAAAAATAAATAAATAAAAATAAACACTTTGGGAGGCCGAGGCAGGTGGATCACAAGGTCAAGAGATCAAGACCATCCTGGTCAACATGGTGAAACCCCGTCTCTACTAAAAATACAAAAAATTAGCTGGGCATGGTGGCGCGTGCCTGTAATCCCAGCTACTCAGGAGGCTGAGGCAGGAGAATTGCCTGAACCCAGGAGGCGGAGGTTGCGGTGAGCCGAGATCGCGCCATTGCACTCCAGCCTGGGTAGCATGAGTGAAACTCCGTCTCAAAAAATAAAAAAATAAAAATAAAATAAAATAAAATTGGTGGCCAGGCATGGTGGCGCACGCCTGTAATCACAGCCCTTTGGGAGGCTGAGGTGGGCAGATCAAGAGGTCAGGAGATTGAGACCATCCTGATTGAAACCCCATCTCTACTAAAATACAAAAAATTAGCTGGGCAGGGTAGCACATGCGTGTAGTCCCGGCTACTCAGGAGGCTGAGGCAGGGGAATCACTTGAACTTGGGAGGTGGAGGTTGCGGTGAGCCGAGATCACCCCACTGCACTCCAGCCTGGGTGATAGAGTGAGACTCCGTCTCAATAAATAAATAAAATTGGGAAGCTTCACCATTTACCAGTGGGCTGCCGAGGGAGAGGAAGGGCAGTGTGGAAACCCTGCGAATGGACTTTTGGGACTGCCTCTGGGTTTCAGTTACCCAGGTTCTCCCTATGCCCCATCCCCAAACCAGCCAAAAAAGTTGGTTCTTGATGCTACCATTTTAGTGATAGTTTACTTCTTGCCTAAGGCAATTTTACCCCAAAGGATCACCTGGTGAAGTCAAGTGCAGCAGTGATAAAGGCTTGTGGAAGCTGCCGGAGCACTGATCCTGGCCAGCAGGCTTCCTGCTCCCCTCAAGGCACCTCTACTCAGTGCTCTCAGAGCACGCATGGGATGCTCCCCACACCTGGCTGGAAGCCAGCTTCAGCCTCAGCTCCAAATAGCAGACAAGCCCTCCCCACTGCAGCCACACCAAATGGCAATGAGGTCAAAAGCTGGGCAGCAGAGGGTTTCCAGGCCCGAGTGCATGGTGTCTCCGGATCTACTTCCCTTGGTCATGTGTACTAGGGGTGGGGGCACAGACACCCAAGCCCCTGCTTCAGGTCCAGCAAAGCTGAAAGCGTGATATTGAGCTGACCTAGAGCCAGAACCTGAGCAACGTCATTTTATAAGATAAAGCTGTGTTTGGCTTCTGTAAATAAAGCTGCTAGCTTGCTGTGAAAAATGCCCACTATGTAAAGCTGCTTACCTTTTCTTATCAGTACCAGAATAAGCAGCCCAAGCTAATGCCATCTTGGCTCCCGTGACTTGTAATAAGTAACTAAGGTCTGTGATTTCCACCTTACCCAGATAATGTGTAAACAAATATTTACCTTGACTTCTGTAAACCACTTAAGTAACAAACGGAATGACAAAAGTCCCCTGGCCCTTGGAATATCCGGAGCCCTCATCTCCGCCCAGGAGGTGATTTACAGAATCCACTAGCCCTCGGAATGTCTGAAGACTTTTCATCCCCATCCCCGCTCCTCACCCCCACCCCCAAGGTGGCTTTTCGGGTATAAAAAGTCTTGGCACCCTCCTTTCGACGCCACAGGTTGGAGAGACGTGAGTCCTCTGTGGTCGCCGGCAATAAAGACCCTGCAATTTGGCATACTTTTGTCTTGGTGTTAACTTTCTATGCTCGGTCCAGTAAAACAAAAGGATGAGGACAAGAGGAAACCAGGAAGCAGGCAAGAGGCCTGGGATCCAGGGCAGGGTCAACCCTCCTGGCTGCTTCCCTGTCACTTGCATAAGGGGACGTGTCAGCTTAGCATCCAGGATTTCCTTTTTCCCAAAATGAGACGGCATTGCAGTAAATGTTAGGAAAGCTCTCGGGCATATATGCCTAGTTTTAACTTCCACCGATTTGACATTTATTGTGTTCCAGGCACTCGGTGGCATGGGTATTTTGGACACATAATTTCACTGAATCCTCTTAATTCCCTGAGGGTAGGATAAGAAGATAGCTAAGGAAAGGTCAGGAAGGCTAAGTCCTGAACCAGCTCTTATGCTAGTAAGGGGCAGAGCTGGCACTGGAACTAGGGGCTGTCTGGCCTCAGAGCTTTATCCTTACCCACCATGTTATATGGGTACTAAAGAGTGCCAGGGAATCGTCAGTCCAGACCCTTCCCCAGCCACACCTGGCAACACCCCCGATCTCTGAGACCACAGATGGGTTGTAGAGAAAGAATGGAGTCTCCTAAATGGTCATTTTTCTTTATTTCCCAACACCTTGAATCTCATGACATGGTGTGCAGCAGACCTCAGCATCCTGCCAAGCTGCAGGCTTCTCTGATGCATGGCACCTGGGCACTCTGCCAAAGAGCTGAAGCTCCCAAGGCTCGGCCAGGGCTCTCCAGCTGTGCTGTCTCTAAAAGCCGTTCTGCGTGAGATGTAGAGCCGAGTTTTCCCAGTCATCCAGTCCTCCTCCCGTGAGGGCAACACTGCTTGCTCTCCTGGCCTGCCTCGCCCATTCAGGAAAAGGTCGGGAGGGGCTCCAGGCGGCGGCCATCTCCTAGTGGAAAGAAGCTGAGACCTGGGCCTTCCATCCAGTTTCTCCTGGAGCAGGTCCGTTCCCTAGGGAGGCTCAGAGTAGGCCTCAGCCAGACCCCCATTCAGCAAATGAAGGAATCCTCCTGTTTTGCCAACATCTATCTTCACCAACTTGGCCTGAACCCATTCTGAGTATAGAGGGATACCCAGGAGTCCCAGGTCAACTCTGCTGGAAGCCACTGTGCTGGAAGAGGACTTCTTTCACTTTGTCCACGATGGTCCCCACTTCAGCCATGGCCCCCAGACCTGGGAGCAAAATTCCACTGTGGCCAGATGGGCTGACAGTGCCTGCAGCCCCGCAGCCCCCAGGCCCGTTCCCTGCCTGAGCCAGACACATCATATCCCTACCAAGACCCCGGTCAGGCCCTGGGAATCATTCAGTAGCCATCCTTAGTGGCGTGCAGGCTGTGTGCCAGGGACTTTACCAGGCACTTTACCCATTCCATCCCATTTTATCCTACCAATCTGGAGGCAGGAATTACAATTCCCATTTTCCAGCTGAGAAAGCTAAGCTCAGAGGCGAATGGTTTGCTAAGGTCACAACAGGCCAGGAACTGAACTGAGATGTGACCCCAAAGCTGAGCCCCTTCTACGGCCCTGGGCTATGAGGCTGGCAAGGCACCCACCTTTGTCTCCGCACACCAGCTTCTTGGCCACGCAGGGGATCTCAACATAGCCGAAGGCCTTGAGCTGGTCGACCTGCTGTGCTGTGACAGGGTGCTCCCACATGGCAGTGTTCATGGCTGGGCAGAAGAGCAGGGGCTTGCTGCGGTCCCAGGCCCGGATGACGCAGGTCTGTGAAGAGGGCAGGGAAAGTGGGGGGTCCTGCTGCTCTGTCTTCCACCCTCCCCGCCACCCTCCAGACCCCACAGCCAGCAGCCCAGCCATGGGCTTGGGATGACTAGGCACAGCCTGCCTGCAGGGAGCTGTCTCGTCCCTCGGGGGTGGGGGCTGTGTCTCCTCGCCTCTCCACCTCTCCACGGGCTCTGGCACAGGATCCTACACATAGGAGGTGCTCAACCAACGCTCACAATGGCCCCGCCACCTCCAGCAGGTATCCCTGTGCCCAAGCCTCCTCCAGGTAGGCTCACACCTCCTGGGAGAAGCAACCCTGGGGAACAGAAGGCAGCCTTTTTTTGGTTACACCAGAAAGCAGAGGACCAGGCTGCTCCTCAGGTGGGGCCCATCTACCCAACATCAGCTCTCCGAAGCCAACTAACGTGTGGCAATGAAAACATCTGCCGTGACCAGAACCTTCTCATGTATAGGGTCTCATGAACCCTCACTGTGACCTTATCAAGAGGGTGCTGTCCCATTTCACAGATGGGAGCTGCAGCATCCCGAGAGGTAAGCAGTCATCCAAGCTCACACCGGACAACAGGTGCCACCGAGGCAATTTCCACTGCAGTCTCACCACCTCCCAAATCCAGGCCACCCCACCAAGACAGAACTGAGCAGCTGGGAAAAAGCCAACCAGCTCAGAGTCCTTCGTGCCATGGATTTTGAAATCATGGAGCCCTGAGTTCAAATCCTGGCGGCTCTGTATTTACTAGCTGTGAGAACCCAGACACGGGACTGAAGGCCAGGGCCTGGCTTCCTCTCTAGAAAGGTCCCTCACCGGGCAGCTGTGAGCACTGAGGTGAGAATGGCTGCAAAGCTCTGAGCACAGGGCCCAGCACAGCACAGGCTCCAGGGCAGGGCCTCCTGGGCTTCCCATAGGCGCGGGCTCCCTGGGCTGGGGGCTGCCTGGGGGAGAGAGAAGCTCCCCATGTTCTCACTGCTCCAGACACCTCCTCAGGGCTGTGAGCCCTCAGGGTGACAGGGGCTGGAAACCCCTCCCATGAAGGGAAGCTCATCTGGGAAAAGAGTGAGGGAGTCCAGAGAACAATGCCCTGACAGGCCAGGACCAGCACCTCCCCCAAGTCCCAGGGCCAGGGAGGAAGCCGGACAGCGAGGAAGTGGGACAGCAAACAGCCCTGGGACCCGATGCTTGCATCAGCCGACACCAGCACTGGTTTCCCACCAAGCCCTCTTAATACGCTGGCCGGGCTATGAGTGGACAGTTTCAGTCACACTTCCTCTTGGCTCTGTGCCACCAGCAGCTTCTGCAGAAGTCAACAGCATATCTAGAAGAGTCGCTCCGCTGTGTGCAGGGTGGGAGCAAGGGCTGGGCTGGGCTTTCTAAGTGCCCTCAAAGCAAATACACCAATCAGGGTGAAAACCAGCACTCCACCTCCTCTCAGACAAACCTCAGCTCCTCCGAACCCACGAAAGCAGGCAGGGGAGAAGAGGGCCTCAGTTCCCACGGTGACATCTCTTTGGCCAGTGCTGTATTCAACACTTCAGGCTCTGCCCCTGGGAATTCACGTGGGCAGGGGACAAGGCCTAGATCCCAGTCAGGAGACCGGCTCCCAGCCAGACCGGTGATCCAGAGACTGTCTGCTCTTTCTGGGTCTGACTGCCTGTTTAGACAAATAGGCCAGGGCCTCTGTGGGCTAAAGGACAGAGGGAGATGAGCCTGGAGGCCAGGAGCATGGTCACATCTATCACCCCATGCCCTGGAAAGACAGAGCTGTGGAGGGAGCAGGCTCAGCTTCCTTTCATGGATGTAGGGAGAAAACAGCTACAGAGAGAGGACACAGCCACGTGCCACCAATGCCCACATTTCAAACTGTAAAATTTGAGATTCCTTGAAACGTTTGTGACTTTGAGGGAAACCCTTTGAGGCAAATGATCTGGGGGCTGGCTGGTCTTCGGAACATGTTTCACTGCCCAGCCAACTCTGGAGGAGGGAAGCCCAGGGATTTCATGAAGTGATGGCAGCTTAGAAGAAAAGGGAAGCAGAGCTTTCAGGAAGAAGGAAAGCACCCTTGCAGAGCTGGCCCAGGCTAGGGCTGAACTGCCAGAAGCCAGAGCTTCGCCACATCAACTGCTCCTGACCCACCAGTGGGGAGCCTGGAGATTTGGTGAGATGGTGCTGGCCATCTCTGGATAACTCTGACCCAATTTGATGAAAGCGGCCAGGAAACTCAACCGTTCCAGCTGCCGCTGCCATGTCACTTGTGGCACCAGCCCTGCTGGGAAGCCTTTTTTTTGTTTGTTTTTTGAGACAGAGTCTTACTCTGTCACCCAGGCTGGAGTACAGTGGCACAATCATGGCTCACAGCAGCCTTGACCTCCTGGGCTCAAGTGATCCTCCCACCTCAGCCTCCCAAGTAGCTGGGGAAGACAGGCATCCACCACAATGTCTGGCTAATTTTTTTTTTTTTTTTTTTTTTTGTAGAGATGGGGTTTCACCATGTTGCTCAGGCTGGTCTCAAACTCCTGAGCTCAAGTGATTTTCCTGCCTCAGCCTCCCAAAATGCTGGGATTATAGGCATGAGCCACCACACCTGGCCTTTTCCTTTTTAATTATTTTATTTTATTTTTAATTTTTTAATTTTTTTTAAATAGAGACGGGGTTTCACCATGTTGGCCAGGATGGTCTCGATCTCTTGACCTCGTGATCCACCCGCCTCAGCCTCCCAAAGTGCTGGGATTACAGGCATGAGCCACCGCCTGGCCCTTTTTAATTTTTTTTTAACAGAGACAGGGTCTTGCTATGTTGGCCAGGCTGGAGCACACTGGTTATTCTGGCTATTCACAGGCACAATCAAGGGGGCACTGTAGCCTAGAACTCCTGGGCTTAAGCAATCCTTCCACTTCGGCCTCCCAACTAGCTGGGTCTATAGGGAAAGCCTTCTTGATGACACTGCTCCTGGGCTCTCTGTTCTCTGCACTCCCTACCCCTGCTCCTGGCCACACAAGCTGTTGTTCTGCTCACTCTGTGCTCTTATTCAAATGATGCTTAAATCACTGGCAGATTCTTTGAGGAGTGCCTTAAGGGCCCATTGATAAGTGTACAAGAACACTCATCTGTGACCCCAAAAAACAACCTGTCCCAGCTTCTTTATTCACCTTCTCTACCACATTAAACTCCGAAAAACTCCCAGCTACCTGCAGAAGTAAAACTGCTAGTTAACCTCAACACAGAGTAAGTATTTTGGTGGCATGTGGATGTGTACCACAGTCTCAGCACTATGAAAGGTGGTGACTCCATAGTCAAAGGGCTGACCGCGGTCATTCAGGACTGTACCACTCACCAGAGCATACTCCCTTCCCACCGGCATGGGTGATCAGGCCTGGCACTCTCCCTCCAGCCTGGGAGCGCCCTGAGTTCTGTGAGGCCCTCAGCATAGACCCTGGTACGTGGTAGGCAAAAGCTCAATAAATGAGGTGGGGGGTGGCAATTAGGGAGAGGTAGGAGAGAAATCACTCCTAAATCTTCCCAGGACAATCATATAAACAAAGGCAGCTCCTCTCTAAGGGCAACAGCTCCCTGGGGGTGTCTTAGGCCTAGGACAGTACCCACTTTGGACAGCTGGACTTCCATTTCTCCCTAGCTCCTGCCACTGCCCCTTTCTCCCCTCTTCCCCTCTAAGCTTCCCCTAGTGTATAGGAAAGCTACAAGGGCGAGAAAATGTGCACGAGCCATCTATGAAGAAGTGGACCCCCAATCACGTTGCCCACGTGTATACCCAGATCCAGGGAGAAGTCAGAGCTGAAGCAGTAGGCGATGGGGCTTGGCAGGAGACAGTGGAAGGGTACACCCCAGGCAGCCCATGGGGAGGGACAAAGAGCAAGGAACAAGGGGCTGGCTTGTGGCACCTGGCTGGGCACTGAGGGCAGGAGAGAGGAGGACAGTCCCGGAGAGCAGTGGCAGGTCAGGCTGACCCATCAGGACCAGGGCTGTGCCCACATGCTGGAGAGGTGAGAGCACTGGGGGCGATGCAGGGAATGGGGGAGCACGACATCCCTGAGCAGACCGGGGCCCCAGAGTAGCAGGTCTCCATGCACAAGGAAGTCTGCAGCTCAGCAAACTGGGAGTGAGGCCCAGGAGGGACGAGTGCAACCAGGGCGTCACTCACGAGCAAGTTGTCACAGATGCCACTGGCCACCTTCCCCAGAGTGTTGGCGTCAAGAGGAGCCACCAGCAGGAGGTCTGCCCACCTCCGCAGGTCAATGTGCAGAACCGGGTCAGTGCGGCACTTCCACATCTGGCAGAGGAAAGAAAAGGGTCAGTGTGGAGGAAGCGGGATACAGCACCAAGGCAGGCCAGGTACAGTAAGTCAGGAGGTGAGGAGCCCTCCCACCTGCCCTGCCCAGGCCACCTCCGTTCCCTCCCGCAGCTAAGCTGGCGAGTGCCAGCCATGGAGCCAGCAGCCGAGAGAACCAGGCCCGAAGAAACAAGCGCCCCTTGTCTCTCTGAGCTACTCCTTCATGGTTTGGCTTTCAACAGAACTGACATCTGGCAGGGAGCTCCCCGGCTGTCTGCTTGAGGAGGATGCTTGGGTTGTCCAAGCCAGTGGAAGGCAGTGAGAAATGGAGGGGGTGGGGCGGGGAAGACAGTCCAGCCAGAAATGTTCTAGGCTGAGAATGTTTGAAAATGCCTGGCAGGGAACCCCTGTGAGGCCCACACTTAGCGTCTGGTGAATCAGCCAGTGCCCACCCATTTTTAGGGGAGATGCAGCAGAGCCCGGCGGCCGTGGGAAGTGAGGCATTCTCTTCAGCCCTGACACCAGGAGCCACGTGGACAAGGGTGGTGGGAACAGAGCTCCTCTGTGGTTTCATCAGCCCAGATAAGTCCAAGGACACTCAACTTCAGGCACCAGGCCAAAGCCCAGCTCTGCCTGGGCTGGGAGGAGACTAGGGCCTCCTGCAGGCCAGAAGCTAGACAGATGTTTTCTTCATTGCCTCTGCCCAGAGGGCCCTGACCTCGGACTTGAGTCCAGCCTGTCTGTTCCGGCCACCAGACCATAGGCTGCAGGGAGGACTGCTCTGTCCTGCTGTTGGAAACACAGTGGAATTCAGCCCAGGGGCCCCCAGCACTGACCTCCCATTCATCAGCGTCACTGTAGAGGGAGACAGGAATGTCCTGGGGGTTGTAGAAATGTTTGGCTCTCTCAGTTGTGACCACTGCTACTTCCAGCTGTCACCAAGAAAACAGGGGTGGTGGGGCAGGAGGAAGAAACTGTTATCAGAGTCACAGGCCTGGAGGCCACAGGAGGGTCAGGGCAGGCAAGTGCTGTCTTCACAGGCTGGCTTGAGAGAGGACTTCCCTGCTTAGCAGCAAGCCCCATGGGTCAGGGCTGTTACCCAAAGGTCAGGCCCTACCAGGTGTGGCCGTTTCACTTCCCCATCCAAGGGGCTGCTGAGAAATGAGTCACCAACTGCCTGTGTATACAAACCTGCAAGCTCCTGCCACTCGGGCAGAGGGGGGCCCAGTGGCAGAGGCACAAAAGTGACAGGAAAGGAGCTCAAGGCCAGGGCCACAGAGGCCACAGCAGGCAGGAGAAACCACCCAAGGAGGCTCATAGGTCCTGAGTTCTGTGCCGCGCCATAGCCCTGCCCTCTGCACGCCAAGGCACTGGGGACTAGGCGCAGCACGACCTGTGTGTATGCATGCCCTCAGGAGAAAGCAGACAATGTCCCTTTACGTACCTCAGAAACAAGGCCTCAAGGGCGCAAGCTGCAGACAAGCTCCAGGAAAACCCAACCCACGTGCCCTACACTCATGGGGTGAGAATGAGGTTTACCCACACACTACCCATTCACTAAGAAATTACTAATGCAAACCAAGGCTGCCTGCAGCCTGCTTAACGGAAAACATGGCTGTGAGAAACAGCACGGGAGTGTGGAGAGCACTAGATGGGTTGGCCATCATTTGTAAAACAAGATTTTTTTTTTTTGAGATGGAGTCTCACTCTGTCACCAGGCTTCAGTACAGTGGCATCATCTCAGCTCACTGCAACCTCCATCTCCTGGGTTCAAATGATTCTCCTGCCTCAGCCTCCCGAGTATGTAGGATTACAGGCACCTGCCACCACGTCTGGTTAATTTTTTTATTTTTATTAGAGATGAGGTTTTAACATATTAGCCAGGCTGGTCTCGAACTCCTGACCTCAGGTGATCCACCCGCCTCAGCCTCTCAAAGTGTTGGGATTACAGGCGTGAGCCACCGCACCCAGCCTGTAAAACAAGATTTTAGACTAAGCTGACCAAGAACAGGGGCCCAGAGGAAGTAGCTGGTGGAGAAAGGGGGTATAGGAAACCACATCTTTGGGGAAGTCAGTGAGTCTGGAAAGGACATTTGTTTCTTCTGGACATTTAACCAGAAGAAAGAAGAGTCAAGGGTGACAAGGACACAACCATCGACCAGCCAGAGCTGTGGTCATGGGGACCCACGTCTGCGCCAGACCCAGCCTGCAGACATGCTGTTTGGCCCACACAAGATCATAGACATTTTAGGCTGGGCGCAGTGGCTCAGCCTGTAATCCCAGCACTCTGGGAGGCTGAGGCGGGCGAATCACGAGGTCCAAAGATCGAGACCATCATGGCCAACATGGTGAAACTCCATCTCTACTAAAAATACAAAAATTAGCTGGGTGTGATGGCACGCGCCTGTAGTCCCAGCTACTCGGGAGGCTGAGGCAGGAGAATTGCTTGAACCCGGGAAGCAGAGGTTGCAGTGAGCTGAGATCGTGCCACTGCACTCCAGCCTGATGCCTGGCAACAGAGCAAGACTCTGTCTCAAAAAAAAAAAAAAAGATTATCGACATTTTCGAGCCAACATGTGCAAATTGGAAGATTTCACCTAGAAAATGCAGTTTCCTGGGTTCTTGTGAAACGCTGAAGGCTTGGTCGGCACTGCTGGACACACATTCTGCCGTGAGAGCGACGTGGTCCATAAGGGCTGCCTCTCACTCTGCAGGGCGTGCCCATGCCAATTCTGCCTCGCCCTCACGCCTCCCTACTGTCTCTCTGAGGCACCCCTCCTCGACTGCTTCCTGCATATTGTACAGGGCAGGGTGGGAGACACATCGGCACAACAGCTAGGAACAAAGCTAGGACCGAGGAGTAGAAGTCTCAGAGAGGAAGACAGGAAGAACTTCAGAAAGTCTGGGTTTCTGGGTTCTATCGACTTGTCCATTCTCCATCTCACTCCCCCTTAGGATCTACCATGCCCAGAGCCTGCACAAAACCTGAGGGACCTTTTCAGAGGCCCTCACTTATTTATTTATTTACAGACAGGGTCTTACTCCATTGCCCAGGATAGAGTGCAGTGGCATGATCATGGCTCATTGCAGCCTCAACCTCCATGAGCTCAGGTGATCCTCCCATCTCAGCCTCTTGAGTAGCTGGGACTACAGGTGCACATCACCATGCCCAGCTAATTTCTTTTGTATTTTTGGTAGAGATGGGGTTTCACCATGTTGCCCAGGCTGGTCTCCAACTCCTAGGCTCAGGCAGTCCACTCACCTTGGCCTCCCAAAGTGCTAGGATTACAGGCATGAACCACCATGCCCGGCCTAGTGGTTATTTAAAGCAAACCCCCACTGAATGCTGGAGTCCCCCTACGATGGCCCTGAACAAGCCTTGCCCAGTTCTGGAGTAAGATGGCAAATAAGCAGGGCTGCCTTATCCCTCCCCAGAACCCAGCCGTGGAGATGCCCCTGGGCCAGCACAGGTGGAGAGAGCAGGGCAGGATGGGGCCATGCCGAAGGCCCTGTCTCCTTCATCGGGAAAACATAAGATAGTGATAAGGTAAAGGAGAGGGCATAATAAGTTAGGGTAACCGTAAGAAGAATAACCTATACCTTTCAAACCAGCAGAAGGAAATTCAATCTACACACTGAGGATATGAAAGGAGAAAAAGAAGCAGAGAGAACATATGAGAAAGTATTTGGCCGGGTGCAGTAATGGGATAACGCTCATCTCTGTAATCCCAGCACTTCGGAAGGCCGAGGCAGGCAGGGTGCTTGAGTTCAGGAGTTCAACACCAGCCTGGACTACATGGTGAGACCCCATCTCTACAAAAAATACAACAATTACCCAGGCATGGTGGTGTGTGCTTGTAGTCCCAGCTACACTTGGGAGGTTGAAGTGGGTAGATCCCTTGAGCTTGGGAAGGCAGAGGCTGCAGTGAGCAGAGATCACGCTACTGCACTCCAGCCTGGGTGACAGAGTGAGGCTCTGTCTAAAAACAAACAAACAAACCCCCCCCCAAAAAAAAAAGGAAAGAAAGAAAGCACTAAATAAGACAGCATAGTCAAATGCTAATATAATAATAATTATAGTAAATATATAACAGGCTTATCTCCTTGATTAAAATTCAGATTCTCATCTTGGATGTTTAATCCATCAATATGCTGTCTAAAAACATACATTTAAAGCAAAAGAACACATAAAGGTTAAATAGAAGAAAAAGGTTTTAGTTAAATAAGGTAAACTCTGCTCCCTCTCAAAAGCCCAATAAAATAAAAGTAATTTTTAAAAAAGATCTAAACTCAGTGGCTCATGCCTGTAATCCCAGCACTTTGGGAGGCCGAGGCAGGCAGATGGCTTGAGGCCAGGAGTTCAAGACCAGCCTTGGCAACATGGTGAAACCAAATCTCTAATACAAAAAAAAATTAGCTGGCATGGTGGCACACACCTATGGTCATGGCTACTCAGGAGGCCAAGGTGGAAGGATCACCTGAGCCCAGGAAGTCAAGGTGGCAGTGAACGAAGACCACACCGTTGCACTCTAGCCTGGGTGACAAAGTGAGACCTTGGGGAGGGGAGGGAAGGGACAGGGAGCAGGAGAGGAGGGAAGGGGAGGGGAGGGCAGGGAAAAGAAAGCAAGAAAGGAAAGAAGAGGCCGGGCGCGGTGGCTCACGCCTGTAATCCTAGCACTTTGGGAGGTCGAGGTGGGTGGATCACCTGAGGTCAGGAGTTCAAGACCAGCCTGGCCATCATGGTGAAACCCCATCTTAAAAAAAAATAAAGGCCGGGCGCGGTGGCTCAAGCCTATAATCCTAGCACTTTGGGAGGCCGAGGTGGGTGGATCACGAGGTCAAGAGATCGAGACCATCCTGGTCAACAAGGTGAAACCCCGTCTCTACTAAAAATACAAAAATTAGCTGGGCATGGTGGCACACGCCTATAGTCCCAGCTTACTCAGGAGGCTGAGGCAGGAGAATTGCTTGAACCCAGGAGGCGGAGGCTGCAGTGAGCTCACGCCATTGCATTCCAGCTTGGGTAACAAGAGTGAAACTCCGTCTCAAAAAAATTAAAAATAAAATAAAAAAGGAAAGGAAGGAAGGAAAAGAAAAAAAAAGGAAGGAAGGGAGGGAAGGGAGAAAGAAAAGAAAAGGAAGAAAGGAAGGAAGGAAGAACGAAAACTCCCAAGAACAAAAAGAAGGGGAACAACCACCAACAGCACTTTAGAAGATGAAAGTGAAAGGAAGCACTAGCAGAGCAGATCCCACAAGATGAGATTAGATTAGATGAGAAAAGAAAAGAGCCAAAGCCTACACAGTAGCTGAAATACAAGCCAGTTAGAGCCCAGGAGCCCAGGAGCCCAGGACTTGGAGGCAGTGAGGACCTCAAAGGTGAGCACGAGGCAGAGAGCTGAACACAGGAGGACTGGCTTCTGGCCTGCAGAAGGAACAGCTAAAGCGCCCCAGGTCTGCCCCCGACCCCAGGCAGCAGGATATACTACCCTTGAAGAGTTAGCACAGCAGACGTCAAAGGAGTCCTGGAGCAGAAGTGAGTATCTACAGACCAGGCACAGAGACCCAAGCCTGCTTCCCCTACTCGACCCTAAGAACGCTAGGTCAGCCAGGCAGGAGGCTGGCAAGGTCTTTCTGCAAAAACCAAATAACCCTGGGAGCAGGGAGATGTGGTAGGGAAGGAAACCTTCAGATACAGAATTCAGAGGTCCACCAACAAAACATTTCAGTCCCAGCTGAGTACCCAGCAGTGAAGTCCCTGGCAGTGAAGACAGAGTTTCCAATCAGCTTTTGGCACCCAAATAAGAACAGCCAAGGAGTGTCAGATATTTGAGAAGAGCGCTCTAGCAAGAAATAGATGACACAAACAAATGGAAAACAGAAACCCAGAGGCAATGCAGGGAGAGGAAAGCTTAAAGATGAGAGATTATACCCA